CGTGCAGGCTCTGGAACAGACTATTTTTGAGCTGAAATAAGAGAAGAATGTCAAATATGAAGCTATAGAGAACTTTTTGGTTGACAACTTCCCTGTTGCATTTGAATGTTATCAAACTGGAAGGTCTGCAGAATCTTCCTCAAGTACCATTACAAGCGATAATATTATTACCCCGTCAATTTCCCCAATTGTTGAGGAAGTCACACAGCCAAAAGATGTGGCTGAACCCCATGACAAGGTTGATGTAGGTGATAAAGCAGGAAGCCAAATTGAGGAGGAGGAAGAAGGCTTTGCTTCATCATCCCATGCTGGAATAACACGACGAGTTTAGCTACTGGTTGGTTGGAAGAGGAAATTGGTGGAGAATCCCTTCACCACCTGTGAGAGAAAGGGTAGAACAATAAAAATCACGGTGAAGTAGCAGATGACACATGATGAAAAGGAGGTTGATGCTAAGAATGTTGAAATGGAAGGTGATAGGAGCAAATGAAAAGGTAAAACAAATAAAATTTCAGGGAAAAAGCTGACATAAATAGAAGATAAGGAGTCTGCTGCTGGCATTCTTGAGGTAGATGGTGAATCTAGAATAGAGGCACGACCAGCATCAGAGGTTATTAATTTCCCAGGTCGATTATTGATAAATGAAGAAAAGAGCATGTTTATTGATAGCTATCTTAAACAATACAATGATAAGTGAGTTCTATTTGTTATTCTATAATGATTATATTTTTTACTAGTTGACATGGAGCAATACCGACCATGTAACGAGCAATACTGAGCATGCAATGAGCAGAATCGAGTACAACAAAAATGCTATGTACTACTCAGTATCAAATGTTCCCTAGCGTGTACAGACTGCCCCTTCTTTGTAACTATTTTAACGACTAACCATTTTTTTCATTTTCCACGAGTGATATTACTTTCACAGCTGGAAACATTGTTATTTATAGAAATCAAATTGATAAATTTATAACGACATAGTTAACAACCATGTCGATGCATTTACTATTCTGCTAGCTGAGAAGAACCAAACTATGCCCTGGCCTCTACCAACCAATCCTATTTGTTTCTAGTTTCCATTGGGTTGGTTAGTAATTTAAAATGTTGTTATGTTTTTACTTTTTTTTCCCTAGCTAATTTCTTAAGTCGTTATGCCAGGGTTATTACTTATATAATGTGGACACCAAAGCATACGTGGCCCATATCACCAAAGATTCTATTAAGGCTTCCAATCTCATGCTAGTATTGTAATACACAACTCTCATTGGACCCTTATTATCGGCAACTTGGAGAACAAAGTGTGCAATTTTATGATTTATTGCCAAAAAAGACTCGAAGTAAGTAACATTCAATAATTAATACAAGGTCATCTAAAATTTCTTTTATAATTTATAATTAGATTTTATTTGTAGATAGTTCATATTTACGAAGAAATATATAATTATTTTGATGATGACATACACCCGTGACCGATCCAAATAATCCCACGTATGCCAACTCAGAAAAATAGCATGAACTGCATGATGTATATTTGTAAATATATGGAAGCTGTTATCAAACCTTAACCTATTATATGGGCTGATCTTACAGACTGGCAAGATTATATGCCTAAATTCAGAGAAATTTGCATACTCCATTCTTTGTGCAACAAAGAAATAAATATGTATTTACACAGATTTGTAATTCATGCTTTGGACATACATTCATTATTTGTACATACTTTCATTAATTATTTACAAGTTAAAATGTTACACAAAAAATGTAGTACACATTCAATATTTCTCTAAAATTGTTCTGCATACAACATCAACTTAAAGATTCAGAGCGGTACCGAGTTCTTTGGAGTGGTACAGAGTGGTCTAGTGTTTCTTTACGTGGTTGGTACCGAGAGGTACCTGTTTGATTGAAAAGTGTTTGAGTTTTGAAAATGTTAATTATCTTTGAAAGAATTCAATTTTTGAAATTTTAGTTTTACAATTGAACACATCATTATGAATGATATATCACCTCAAAAGATGAACATATCATTCCCTAATGGGTTCAAATTACAAAACTTTGAATTTATCCTAATCATCATAATCAACTCAGGAAAAGATAATATACAAAATCGAAGGGTCAAAATGATTTTTGATCGATGTTTAACTATAATAATCTGGTTAAGTGATCATTAATTTTATAATCAAAATTATGATAATAGAAAGATATATCTTCCTGAGGAAAGAGAATATCGTCTATTATCAATCATCTGAATATGACGATAATGATCATCAAATTTGATTTTCCCAAAGATAATTAATTGAAGTTTTAAAAATTTTGATTTTAAAAATTGATTTGGATTTCTAAATCTCTTACGCCCTCGTAGTTAATTGCTTCATAGGAAATTGAAATTTATATCATAGGAAATTGGAGTTTCCTACGAATACTTTTGATTAAAATAACGGTAAAAATTTTATTTTGATGGACTCACTTGTTATATACAAGTTGGGAGGTTAAAATGAGGCATAAGTGAAAGTGGAGTTATAAGCACGTAGCAAGATATGTGTATTATAATCATGCATTTGCATATACTTCAATGAATTAAATATAATTAATATTTTGAATTGAATGTTAGCATGAGCTTTGATGAAATGTGAAAAGTAAGCATAGGTGGACTATGATGGCAACTATAATGTGATATATCTGAAATCTCTGTAAAAGTGGCTTTAAAGATATATGTAAGAGCCTGAAATCAACTAACATTGAAACTTTAGAAAATCATGTTTTGTTTACATTTTGATTATTTTTTACAAACCACAATATTTTCCTTTAATTAACTGTCACTTAATATTTTAATTTGAATATTGATATCTATGATGTGATAGAAAGGAAATGTACTGAGCTGGTTATGCTTATTTTTTAAATCTTTTGGATATTTCAAAGAAAGTTAAAGGCCCAATAGAGTAGATAAGATGTAGAGACAAGTTCCTCCGGATTTAAGTAGAAAGGTATTATTTTTGTAATCTAGTATTTAATTATTTTGATGTATACAATTTATGAAGTTGGATTAATATATATATATATATATATATATATATATATTTTGATGAAATGAAATATGTTTGTATTGCTTTTATTATTTAAATTTTAGTAGCTCTGGTTGTCTTCGCTGATGGGTGAGTAATAATTATAGGTTTAGGGGTTCAACAATTCCATTAGATCCTAGGACATCACAGATGGCACATTGGTGAGTTTGAAAGGCATGATGATTAAGTTTTAATGGCCATTATAGGGCCAAAATATAATTTTATGGACATCGCCTTTTGCCATCCTCACTTGATGATGGCCACACATGTAGATCTAATTTGATGAAAATAGTGGCATCATGAATTTCATCTTCTAGCTCATTCAATATGGGATATGGAATTCATTATAATATTAATTTAATTGAGGGTACAACAATTGACTCATAAATATAATGTACCATCTCTTCTTTTAAACTAGCAAAGTTGGGTAAGAAAAAACAGTTGAATAAAGGTAGTGCAACATTTGGTTGGCCAAACTTTCAACTATAGATTTTTTATAGTATAGATAAAGATAAGGCTTTATATGTAATTGTCCTTTTGCTCCTTAAGCATTAACAAGCCATCATCTATTCTCACCATAAAAAAATAGTTGGATAAGAGATGATCGATCAGATCATAACTCAATTAGAGCAGGTTAACATGATAACTATGATTGGAAAAACTAACCCGGTTATCTTTAGGCTCATCATAAGCAAAAAGAGACTTGTTTAATGCTCAAAGAAATTGACACCCTTCCCTATAGTTTAATCATGAAATCAATGAGAATTTCGTTGCTTATTAGTACTTTTTCTTATTAGCTCCTCCTTGCTTTCTATTAAAAAACCTTAACAGGTCAAAGTTTTATTAGTGCCACAATGACTACATGCATGAAATTTCTTAAGGTGTTGGTGGAGAATCCTCTCAAGAAGAGTTATCTGAGCAATATTTGGCCAAATCACAACCATTCCAATGGGAAATGGAAGCTCTATCTAGCTAGAGTAGAAAGAAGGCCAACCTCAAGCCTAAATGCTAAAGTAGAGTAGTATGGAAAAGTTACACATAATAAATCACCTTAATGCTGTCATATGATGCACTGCCATTAAAGCTTCACACAATTGAAGTTCATGGAATCTCAATTCTTAAGAGATAAACATTGCTAACATTTCATCTTTTATAATTTCTTTTGTTGATGTAGATATCTCTTCCACTTAGAGCATTACAAAAATGACATTATGATCCAAGTGATTCAGAATATTTCTTAGGTACTTCGTATTCTAGTTGATGCATATAGCTCAATGAATTTATCTTCCAACACCTTATTGAGAGGATGAGACTAGATGCCTAAATTTATGGGGTGCATGATGATGATATTGTTAAATCCATCCATCAAGGAAAGGTGGACCTTATAGGGGGTTGATCAACCTCGACTTCACTTTAGGGGATAAAAAATACTCGAATACCCACAAAGAAAAGTTTATCGTGCTCCAACCATGGTCTACCTATAATGTTACATTTGAAGGACCTCTACTAAAATATTTTAACTGATAAATCAAACATACCACATATGTCTTAATTTTCTTAAGCTCAATAATCAAATTTACTTTTGGGGGGAGTTAGTGGCCTCCTAGAACTTGAATCTATATAGCATATAAAAAAGCCTAAGCTTCTAGTCACCAGCTTCCCCTGGACAACCAACAAATGTTAATGATTGGGAAGTCAACTAAGTTGTCAAATTACCCGCAAACTCAAAAACGACTATGGGTGTAACTTAAGCATCAATGCCACATGTGAAGATATTTATCTAACTAATCTAACAAGCCTACTTAGAGGTAATATTAATAAATTTGCATGGAATCCCTTTGAGATGTCAAATATTAATCTCAACCTCACCTTTGATCAACATCGCATATGAATAAAAAGTAGGTGGTTTGGTAGAAAATTGAAATCATGTAGCAAAGATTTAGGTTGGAATTTTGGAGAAGGTAGAGAAAATGAAGATTTCCAACATCATCAAGAAGTTCAATATCTTGAGTCAATATTTAATATGGAGATATTAAAAAGTTGGTTTAGAAAGCTGTCCCAAATGAAGTCATAATTGGTCTCAAGTAGTCAACAAGCTTCATTTCATCTCACAAGTGGAAGAAGCATGTATTCAGCATATAACAACTGCAAAATTAAAAAAATATATATAATTTGTCAAATCTGATAAAAATGACCAATTATCTATTCTACAAAAAAAAAAATATTGTTACCTTCCAAATAAGCATGTAGAAGGATTGCAGAGAAAATTTATCCTTCAAATCGATAGACCCGCTTTGCTTCCAAAGGATTAAGCCAAGAGCTGAATGGCTCGATATCTGCATCAAAGTCGAGAAGATTTTCATTGTACTTAAACATAACAATTGTAAACTAGAAAATTGATTTTCATATAATTTTCTTTAGTGAATTAATTGAACATACATTTATGAGCTTGCTCCATGGACGAGAAGAAGTGGCTCCAAAAACAATTGCAAAAATATAAACCATCTCTAACAGACAAATGCAAATCCAAAGCACCTGTTAGAATCCAAATGAGGGAATCAATAATATATCCAAGTTAAGAACTGTATGTCATATATGATTTGACAAATAAGTAGCTCACCTTTTTTGGACCTAGACTAGCAGCTAATGAGCGAATGCCAAATTTTTTATCTCCTTCAATATCTGGTACATCCTGTTGATAAACCATAATTATGACTAAAAAATAAAATACAACAAAAACATGAGAATAGCTTCTTGCAAATGCAAAGAACTAGCAAAATCAACATAACTGAATGATGTTATCTGCATTAAATTAGATTTTTTTCCTTTTATTAATCTCCTAAACAGTGCTAGATTTATCTTTAGGTGCAAACTCGCTAGCATTTGGATAAATCTTAAACCATTGCCATAATTAATTTCAACCATTTCAACCATTTCGCTTGATTTTATCAGATATGTCATATTAATTTTTATGAAGTTGAATGTGCAATGTAAAGACAAAAAGTGTACATAAACCGAAGAATAAGTATGATAAATTATAAAATAATTATATGTTGACCTCTACATTAATGAAGTTCATACAATTTCAATCAAGGATTTTCTAAATTTCTGCATCTACTTCCTATTAAAATGCATCAGATTTAAACTATGTTAAGAATGAAAGAGATAAACCTAAAAATATTTGATTAGAAAGTATTAGAAATGATCTTTTTTAGTAGATTTGAATGAGAATTTGTCTATTAATCAGATACAATGGAGAAAAAGAAAATATGCAGCAACCCCACATAGTGGGATAAAGGCTTATTTTTATTGCTACTGTTGTTGGTAGCATTCAATTAGGACTGTGTTTGCCACTAATATTAAAAAAATTAAGATTAAATCTTATCTAAAATAATTAATAAATTAGACTCCAAACTTAAATAACTCAAGTCTTTTTGCTTACAATATGATAGTTAAATTTAGTCAATTTCATTTATCTATCAATTGATTCTATCTAGATGCTTTATATAATCTGTTGCTCTCTTTATATAGGATTAAATTATTTAAGTATATTTTATATGCCTTTGTTCTCATTATGTCTGTTTTTAGTATGCTTTTAATTCAATTTTTTTGCATTGATGTTTATAGCTTAACTTGTGTGAATACCGCACATACACACAAGAAAATAGAGAATTATGTGCCTAAGAAGCATAAAATTATTATATAGAAATAAAACAAGGGGAAAAACATATGGCATAACCTATTTGAAAATAATTATACTAACACAAATTATAATTACAATGATTCACCCTTATGTAATTTCGGTATTATAATTTTAAAATTAAGATAGTATAGGGCCAATTATGTTGTTAGCAAACAGTAAATGACTGACGTTATCGTTTTAAATTGCGTAATAAGAGGCGTAACTTAGCACATGTTCTCTAAAACTATTTTTTAAGATATTCCCCTTCATTCCATAAAATCTAAGAGAGTTGGAGGAATCTTTGAAGACTCTAGTATTCATTATAAACAATTCAATAAATCTCCTAAAAAGTTAAGTTGAAGTGTGGATGATCTTGTGTGGTAGAGAGAAAATTATATGCATGATTGAACCTTCAGGGTGATAGGGAAGAGCTAACAAAGCAGTGATTTAGAGGCCTTATCCATATGCTCATAAGAGCCAAAGAGGCCATTAAATGGTTATATAGTGAGTAACTTGAACTTTCTAGAATGGGATATTGTTGAATGGTGTTAACAAGTGGACATGAGTTTCGAAAATCTTAAGGAGAGATAAGTCGAAATTTGTTCCCTATGGAAAGCTCCTCTTGGATCAAACTTCTTAGTTCATTATGATGAATACCATGAGGGATGTCGTTAATAGGAGATGGGAGTAAAATTCATGGGAGGTCAGATGAGTAGAGTTACATCATGGTAATCATCATTGATTGACGGAGAGAAGGGGAAGTCTTAACATAGCACTTGCTTATATGTCCTTGATTGTGTGATCGTTAGTCTAAGGCAGAGGTAGATAAGAAGTCTCGACAAACAAATCTAAAAGCAATCATTTAGTGTTCTAAATGATGGTTGGAGGTCAATAGTTATAACTTAGTAATGCTCTCCACTGAGAGTCATCCTCAATATGTAAGAGCAATGGCTATTTATAAATTTATGGAGAGTATGTTATGTTTATTTTCATCAAATGGTCTAAATATATCTCCTTTAATCATATTTTATATATATTTAGAAATTTTCGTGCCTTATTGATTGTAGAATTGAACGATTTTGAGCATTCCGAATCTTTGAATGATCTAAATGTGCACATTCCTAAGTTCAATATTGAGTTTCAATTGAAATGCTTTACAATTTGAAACGAGATTCTTTCTTTTTTTAGATTTTGAGCCTGTCGGATCTTTGAATTGTCTAAATGTGCAAATTCCTAGGTTCAATATTGAGTTTCAATTGAAATAACTTACCATTCACAATGAGTTACTTTGTTTTTTAAACTAACAAGACAACTTAATATACATAATTTCATCCTTTTGCGGAAAGGAGAATAAATTGGTAAAAGAAATATATGCTATCTACAAAAGATCTTCAAGAGTATCATGTTATTAAGTCTATTTAGAAGGTTAAAAGTTAAAGCATAATGTAATTCCAAATTTTATGAAAAATTTGAATATTGCTTCAGATTTAAATCACCAAACAACTAATATTTTGCATATATACCTTGAATAATGCTATTACAACAGAGAATATGCTCACTACAATGGTTCCCAATATTAGTGGTTTTGAAAAATTGGCTTGCCTTCCAAGAACAAAGGTCTGTACAATCAATAAAAAATTAAATATTATATAAAAATAGGACGCAAAAATAATGAAATAACTTCAAGATGCTCCAAATTTGAATCCAAAAAAAAATGAAAGAAAGAGAAAGAAAACATATTAGGATTCAAAGATTGCTTTTAATGGATTATTTAGAATTGATTGATCCGTTAAAGAGGTGAATCAAAACCTGATGAAAAAGAGAAAGGAACTCAACAATATATTAACATAAAATACATTATATAAATATCTCACAAGTGCAAAAATAAAATATTTACATATAATAATAATCACTATTAAAAAATAGTTGAAAGTCAATTGAAAATTTTCAATAGCATAAATATCACATCAAGAAATTATAAGCCAATATTTACTTCTATTTGATATGAATATGCTTATAAAAGGCATTGAAAGTGAAAAACCATATCTCCTAAATCATGGATTTAAGCCACATATTTTGTGATTCACTTATTATTAAAAAAAAAAAAAAACACTATCATGCATATTATTTTTATGCTTCAATTATTATAGCAGAGATAATTTTTATGGCAATGAAAAGTCAGAACACTAAATATAATTATAAAAGGTCGATCATAAAAAACAAAATAAAAATTGATACAATTAGAATTTTGGCTTATAATTATATTTTTATAGTATAACTAAAATCCTATTATTAGTTACATATTTCTTAACTTGTGAGTAAAAATACTTGTTAGTTATACTTTTGTTATTATCACTCAATAGTATTAATATTTATTCTCCCAAAATGTGGCTATATTCTTGAAGATTTAGTAAAACCTACATATAATTGATTAAATACATTAGATTTATTGTATAATAAAGATATTTTGAATATAGATAAATAATAAGTTCTGATTTTGAGGGTAAGGATGAAAAGGTGAAATAAGGAAATAGAGTGGATATGCATTGTTAAGATCTAAACTAAATTTGAACTATTTTAATAAAGCAAATTATGTTATATGAATACAGTTTTTAACATAAAAAATTATAAGTAATTATTAAGGATTAATAGAGTTATAAGTATAACAGTTATACTTATTTTGATGCAATTAAAACTATATTATTTAAAATAATTTTCTTTAAAAAATTATCATTAAAATTTAGATTTTAAACACTTTATTTTTTGTCATATTTTTATAAAGTATCATAATTGATTGCATGGCAAAAAATACTTATTTAGCCACATTTCCTAAAAAAATAGAGCTTAAAATATATTAAAGGAAAAATGTGATATAGTTAATATTTAGCTACACTTTCAACAATCATTAACTATAACTTAAAAATATTTTAACAGTAATGAGATTAGATTTAAATAAAATGGAGGAAAAAGAAAGAAAATTTTAATATCAAAGAAAAAATAATGACTAAATTATCTAACAAGAATTGCAAAAAAAAAAAAAAAAAAATTAAAAAAAAAAAAAAAAAAAAAATCTCATATGCCAAAAAAATATGATCAATAAAATTTATATGAAATTTTTTGTATCAGAATATATTATTTAAAAATTGATTGTTAAAATATATCTAAAAAATAATGAATTTATTTTGAGATAAGAGTAATATATGGGTAATAATTTTATCTTTTTAGCACTAATTTAATATAAAATATATGGATTTTATAAATCATAATTTTTAAACCTCGTCCTTATAAAAATTTTAATCAAAATATTCTGGCCCAATATTTTTCCAATAAATATCAAATAAATAGGATAATATTAGAGATCACAATGACAAAGATAAAACCTGCGTGTGAAGGAAAGTTGATATTTGAAGAACAATTCCAAGATTTGCAATTATGGACATCATTGCAGTTATTCGTCGTGCGCAGATGCGAGCGAGAGGCTGGCGCTGCAGCGTGGGGCGGGTGCGCGGATTAGTATGCATTTACCGACTCTTCCAACAAAGGCAGTCCTCATAGGTTATGGTAGGAAAGTTCAAACCTCATATTATATAATTGAATCTCGTTTGAACCTTAAACTTACTTCAAATAAGTTTTGAACCTAAACATTTGGTTCCAATGGAATTTAAGCTTAGGATTTGACCATTAGATTTAAGAGGTTCAAAAATCGTTCGAACCAAATATGTTGCAACTTCATATTTGAACCGATATTTCGACCATAGCTTCCATCAAAGGAACTAGGTCCAAACCTTTCTTGAACCCATATTCAAACTCAATTAAAACTTAGCGTTTAACAATTACTTCAAAACATTGGTTTGAATAAAGTTTGAGTCTTTGATTCCAACCTAATTTTCCTCAATATCTTGTATAGAATTTATTTATTTGATTTATTTTTTAATGTATACAAATACCAGGACTTATTATTCCTATGAAGAGACTTTACATTGTTATAATAACAAACAAGCCGGAGATGTCGGAGAAAGTGATCAATCAATTTGAAGTAAATAATCTCTTTAAGATAGCTAAACAATGCAAATTCAACTAGTTCTTCATTATTCTATATTTGCACGCTTTTAGGGTCCTAATGCATCAACTTTTGTTAAAAAATGTTAAAGATAAAAAGAATGATGGTTACTCCATTATGCTCATGATTGGAGGTAAAAACACAAATTTTGACATTTTTAAATTTGTTTGGATCACTATGCTGGAATTTGGTGAATTTCTCTTTGAGAAGATATTTGAGCAGATCACCACAAGCATAAGGCTAATTGAGATTTACCTAGAAGGTATCAATAATTTAAAGACCATTGATTTAGAAAAGGGCTTCATGGAGTGTACAATTGGAGATATTTGAATGTTGGATCTCTGCTTTATTTTTGATAGGCTGCTCCTCAATCATGTGAGGAATAGTACTTTACTTTTTTTTGCATATCTATGAGAAATGATGCCACGAGAGAGGACACTTAAAAGGATGGAGAAGAACAAGATCCACATTGAGAGAAATATTCTAAACATGGAGGATAAAATAGGAAATAAAACCCTCACCCAATAAATTGTTAGTAGATTTGCTATCTCATTATATTATTGGGGTCATGAAGCCACTTTGAAACTAGGGAAGAGTTGTGTGAATTCCTTGGAGAAAAAAAATTTCATGATAATATTGGAAGAGCAAAAAAGCACTCACAAGGAAGATTTTTTTTTGTCATTTATAGACTGTAAAGATATAAGTCATGCATATTATTACATTTCAAATGATTGTTTAGATTAAATAATTGTATCAACTAACTTTGGGTGTTATGATGAATTATTTCTTTCAAAGAGAAAGTTAAACCTACAATGATGCACAAAATTGATGAGGAAGAGTTTCACAAGTCTATTGTACATATTCCTTATCAGCTTCTCCCAATTAGGATTACGAAGGTGAAACAGACCACCTCATATTTTGCTAGTAAGTGTAGTTATCAAGCTAAGGAAGTAAAGGCGGAGGTGCCTGGAGAAAGGAGCAACAATGAGTTTATTTCCTCTAGGCAACTACAGAGGTTTTTTTTTTTTGCAATAAAAGGATTGTAGAATAATCAACTAAGAATTGAGCAAAAATTGGATGCTTTGATTGATCTTGTATATAGAAAGCACACCAGAAAACTTGTCATCCAAGTGAGCTGTGGCAATGAATCAAGTAGTCATACAATGATTGATGAGTATGTCGTCATGGAGACCCAACAAATTTCCCCATCTATTGATATTATAAAAAAAGAGAATGTGTAAGAAGTTAAGATTGAAAATATAAAGAAAATACAAGAGATGAGCTTGTAAATAGACATATAAGGAATTGAAGTTCTAAATAAAGAGAATGTAGAATGAGAAGCATATAATATGACAAAGAAGAATAAGACAAATTTTAAGTGATGCTATCATAGATCCATCTAGTAAGGAACAAGCTAATGGATCCATCTGCCATTGACCCCCTCTATTCAATAGATGAGGAACAATTGTCTCATTTTAGAGTTTGGATAATAAGGATTACAGACAACTCAAAATAAAAGAAGATGGGAGTGAGGAGTACTAGCACTTATGATTTTAACTGCTAAATATACTTAAACTTGGTTGAAAATTGATATAACAATTTTAATGCTACTGTAGATGCTTTATATAGTGATACAAATGTTATAATTTTGTTTAAAATATAATTTATTATTTTGCAATATCTAGTTCAAACCTTATTTAAAAAAGCTTGAATCTATTTTGATCTAAACTCAAACCCTATTTAACCATGTTTAGACCTATTTGAATAAGTTTAAACTTGTTCGACCAAGCTCGAACCTATTTGAACAAGGTTAGAATCTATTCAAACAAAATTAAAATCAGGATCAAAACTTGATAAAATAAACTTTATTTGAATATCTTTAAGACCATTACATAACATGGGCTCAACAATCATCAATGACAAATCATTACAACACTGCATAGGTTCAACAATTATTAATAATAGACCATTACAAAGGCTCAATAATCATCACTAATAAACTTAACATAATACAAACTAATTGAGCACACCAATTCAATAGTCATAATTGAGTTATACAACATTACCAACTTAATTACAGTATCACTAGATATACATAACACAATTATATATCATTTCAAATAATTACCAAACACTTTCAAAGAATTAAATCGATTACATCAATTAACAAGCCATTTCTATGCTTAGAGGCCAAGTGACATTACTCATAACAATTGTAAATTTTAAATTCTATCGTGATATTCATTGCAATTTGATGAGCATACATGCCATGATGTGCCTCTCAAAATACCATATAGAAGACATTCACAATATTATTGTGTCAATTTGAAACAAATAATAGGTTCTATGCCAATCCTATTGACTCTCTTACTCTTACTATGAAAAATACATAAATGAGTCATTATTTTCTTAATCAATTATTGCATATGGAATGAAATTAATCTATATACTTGCACCTTAGTCTCAACTAGAAGCAAAGTATCTCCACATCTAATATTGAGAAAATTCCATTGAAATTTAACACTAGGCAATATGCACCTTTAAAGCCTCGAATGCAAATGTTTAGAAGTATCAAGTTGTATATTAATTACAATACTTGAGTTTTTCTTATTTAGCATGAAAATATAACATCATAATTTGTTAAAAAAAGCTTCATTGTGGGCTCCAAAAATTCGACGCGCGCCACTGGATTCTCCGCACCGTTTCTTTTATTTTTCATGTATGATAGAGGAGAGTTTTAACGAACTTAGGTTTCGGGTGAATTTTCAGAAGGAAGCTTGGGTTTTAGTTAAGACACTACCCAGAGATTTCACCCTCATTTTTTGAGAACTTTATGATCTGAGTTCTGGTTTCCTATAGGCACAAGCTCCTATAGTTAATTACCCCACTTGATAACAAGAGAGAACTTTCAATTAAGGCTAGTTATTAAAGAGGCCATATAAATTGTAAATCCAGTGTGTAATAACAATAATTTTAGGGTTTGAATTTTGGATATAAATTCTGTAATTTGAGACTTAAAGTTTATTACCATACACTTGAAACTGGTGATGGGGGAAAATAAGACGAGCCCGATCAAGATCCCATGGTTCCGTCATCCCGAGCAAGCATGATCCATAATCTACTTAGTCAGAGGAGGTAGTACACCCAACCTGACAGAAGGAACCTTATCGATAACCATGGGTTGCTTCGTACAAAATATCTTGTAGACTTGGGTTGATTTTTGTCTAAGGGGATATATCTGAATCCACCTTAGCTGATAGAGCATTTTATGCCTATCAAATATACCCTATGATTCATTACTTAAGGGCTTGACGCCATTAGGGAACATACATGCTTTGACCATATCATAATATAATGGTTTTATTTTGCAGCAAAACCACCCAATAAGAGGGCACATGATGTGTCCCTTATGGCAAGAGACTATTTGAGGATGAATCTGAGTGATATACCCGACACGAAGTTTTCTCTTTGCGAGCTGAAGACATTATTTAAAATCACACAATATGATGCTCGTCTTGAGGCCCACCTCAACGCAATTCCAATGAAAAATACATCGAGGCTTACATCTCAAACTTTTTTATGAGGCTTGCACCTCACCTTGGCTGAGGCCCGTCTTGAGGCACGCTATGCCTCGTTGACATGAGGCTTACGCCTCACTTTATTAATATATAGTTTTATTAAAACTTGCATTAAACCTAAATTAAAGCAAAAAAAAAATCACGTTTTAATGCACCCCCAAGCTACAACAACTTCCTCTCGACTGCCTTGACCTCCAACCCTCCATTTTCTCCATAGTAAACATCGTCATAGCCGCCAACGATCACTTGAAACTCGCACACTACCACCACTTCATCTAAAATTTTAAGAGTATTAATCTCATCTTTATATTAATGAAAAAACATTTATGAAAGCGGAAGATGATTTAAATAAACAAAGAAGAAAGAAATTGGATGACATTGGACTCCATAGGATGAGAGAGGGAAGAGGCCATTTTGTTGTTATGATGACGACTCAAATACAAACATCCTTAGTGATGACAGTGGATATGAAATCTAAGTTTTTATCAACTCTTTCAATTTTCTTGAGGATTTTAGTGTGGATTAGTAGGGAACTAGAACTAAGAAAGAAGGAATTTGGAGTTGAACTTGATATTATATGATACTTTTATGTCATTCATATATTTAATATTATTTTACTCTAATAATATTTGAATTTCAATTTTATTTCATGTAATTTATCACTTACCACTTTATGTCTTGTGCAGTTTTATATTTCATATGTATGTGAATTCGTTACTTCATAATTCAATAGAGAAATGTAACATTTCATCATTTGACATATTATTTTGATATTATATAAGAAAATCACTTTTAACATTTATTGACTTAACACAATTTTTTTATTCGAGGCTTACGTCTCACCTCAAGAACAAAAAATGTCTCAATATCCAATTGCACAATT